CAATAAGGTACTAATTAAGGGTCTTAACTGTAAATAGAGTTTACAGTAAATAGTGTTTAGTTACACTAATTAGTTTTTCCTGACAATATATCTATGAAAATATCTATAAAAATATATATAATTATATATTCTTTGATATATATATATATAAACAATTCTGCAATGTTTTAGTGTATATATAGTAGTGTTAAAGAATGCGAGATATTTGACGTAAAAGTGTGTGGGAGTCGCGAAAGAGTGGAGTCTAAAAATGAAAATCTCTTTTATGACTGGAAATAAAAAGAGTCTGTTTTTGTTGAGGAATATCTTGAATATCGGTTTCATTGCTAACTGAGAGAACGCATACAAATGAATGTGTGATTGAATTCTTGGTTCGGAGGGTAACTACACATTGATTTCACGTTTTAATAATACAGTTGTAATACACTATAAATGTCTCGAAAAGTTAAACAAAGTGTGTTTTAATCTCCAAATGAGATCGTGTTTCGAAGTGTCTTAAGAATTTGCATTCAAATAGTATTTCATTCAAAGCATTGGTTCATTGAATGTCTGATTTTATTGCAGAATATTCTGTAAAATATTGTTGTCTAAGAATTTTTTGATCATAAATAACATAAAAGGTTAACAAATCTAGAAACTAATTTGCAATTAAATTAATTACTTTACTTTAAAAACTAAAATATTCTTAGATTACAAAAACATGTTATTATAATTTTTAAAAATCGATCTTAAAAATAAAATAAAAATATATTTATAATAATAATCGCAATAATTGTAGGATTATTGTAAACACGCGTTCAAAAGTCTAATAAATTTTGAGACTTATGTGAAAATTTCAGACGTTTGGTGTTTACCCAATGAAATAATTGTAACAGACATTTGGCACAATTATCTCCTACTCTGTTGCTCACAATCTAATCAATCATTTTATTTGTTCTTGTTTTTCAAGAGATTAAAACAGGATTAATGTTTTTGAATGGCATTTAAATAATTACAAGAATAACTATTACTGCAACGCTTTATCACTTTAAACAATAGATTGTCAAATATTACAGAATATTCTTTAAAATTTACAACTAATAAAAATCACACAAAATTCTGATATTTATTCTTCACATTATATATAAATACAGTCTATTTGTAATATTTTGTAAATAAATAAATTATATTTTTTTGAATCTATTTTTTAAACAAATATCTACACAATTTGTACACTAATTATATCCAAAGTATAGTTTGTTATCTTTGGTGTTCAGTCTAGTGTCGACCTCCTGTACCCCGCATTTAATTGTCGACACTGTATAGCCATTTAGAGGCGATATTTTAATACATTTATAAAAATCATATTTTGTAATAATAATGATTACCTGATTATAAACAAGTCGATAGTACTCATGCATCGGAGGATTATCTCCTGAACCTCTTCATGGGTGAGGCCTTTGAGTGTTATGTTCCCGATCCTCACCAATAGGTCGCCCTCATGGAGACCACTCCGGTGTGCGATACTGTCGGGGATTACCTGAATATATCAATTATCGTATTATTAAGTGATTTAACATTATTTTGATATCGTTTTTCAGTCATATTTTTTATTTTTGTTAAAATAAGATTGCAGTGAATGTTAAGCAGAATAAGCGACACAAAACACTAACAGCCGTTTTGTTTCTTTAAATAGATTATAAAAACTATTCTACTCTCTCGCTAACACACACTCTCTCGGCCTCCCTTTGCCTACACTTTCTCTCCTTTCCAG